AGGACCAGACGGAATTCCTCCAGAAGCACTGAAAACAGACAATGATGCTCACACCACTGCTACGGGAGGCTTAGGAGGAAGGAAGGAAAGGTACGTGATGACTGACTGGAGGAAGAGTTAGCTTGTCAAAAATCCAACAAGGGAAAACTAAGTATCTGAAAGAATTGGCTCGGAATCATGCTCCTGTCCACATCAAGTAAAATACCAAGCATCATCATCATGTGACGATCAAATTGCAACACCACACTACGCATCATCATAGAACAGAAACAGCATACAATGCAAATCCAGTCAACTCATTTCCTAAACTTCATCCACTTCGAAAAGGTATTCCATAGCGTCGACAGACAAGCAATTTCGCAGGCAGCTGCTTCAACACTACAGTTTCAGTGCCACAAACCTTCACCAACCTCATTCAACAACAGCTACATGCTACATGTGAAGTGATTCACAATGGAAATCTCAGTGATGTCTTTGAAGTGAAGCGAAGACAGGAGCGAGTAAGACAAGGTTCCCACCTACTATCATCACCAATCATCTTCCTGATTGTAGTCGACTGGACTGGACTGGTGGTGGTGGTGGCACGCATGAGGATGTCACAACGAGGATTCGGAAGACAACAACACACGCCTTCAGTTATCTGAAATGATCGATGTGGAGATCTACTCCACTGCACTGCACTCAGCATAAAGCGTGAACAACATCCGGATTTGTAACACTAGCATCAGTGAAGTAAGTCAGTGCTTCCATGTGATGGTTGAGAGACTTAGCACGTTACCAAAGGCATTTCCAAGCAACTGCGGACATACATCAACAGCTGCCTACGCGCCAGGCCCTTTAGTGGAACTCATATGGGAAACGACGAGTTGGGCCTGTGAAGATGACATGGAGGAGATGGTGTGAGGAAGAAATGAAAGCTTATGGGCAGTCCTGGAGCCAGGTTAAAAATCCTGCAGAGAAGAGAGTGAAATAGCGACATGCTCCTGTAGCCTTGTGTTCTACTAGGAACCCAAGGGACAGTTAATAAGTAATAATAATCGAGGCATCACCGTAAGGAGCCTGTCTGTCAACAGAAGTAGATCAGCTGGACCTGAAAAAACAATGGAGAATCGCAAGCAGCAATAAATAATAACAATTCATACCTTTTGAATAGGGTGTGGCTCTCGTGCCTCAGTGGTGGATACCCAGTTAGAGTCCCAGTGGGAACACCATCACTCACTAGGGTGCTGAGGGTTCAGTTGACTAGTCCTAAGTGTGACAAAGCGCTTATCCTCGATTCCACTGTTAACCACCACCTAGCTAATTGCAAAATAATGAATCATCAGGCAATATGAAGCCATCTACGTAGAAGCTCATATATCAAAATAGATCGAGGGATTCGATACCATTTAATAACGGGAAATTACAAGTATCTATAAATAAGAACGGAATTTCCCTTTTAAAAGCATTATTCTCAAATTTTCTGGAATCCGTTTGGTTCATTATTCGAAATTTTACCGATATAAAAAAACATAATCTATTAAGATTTTTGCTAATGTCATTTCTAGGTCTGGATTAATCATTGATGTGTGTAGACCAAGTTTTTAACCTGTCTAGGCATATAAACCATTTTGTTGATCACTTAAGGTCACATAGGCGTACACACACAAACACACACTGGTTGTTCCTTCCTAACAAGTTCAAGGTCAATGCTCACTTAACCTAATGTCACAGCTCTCTCCATCAGGAGGTCTATCATCTTGACAGTTTAAGAAGAAAATTCGATGACTCATCTGAAGATAATAATAATTATTATTTATAGAATATAAACATTCAGATCGTTTCGAATTTCTACTAAGCACTTCTTAAAGACAATATGAACAGAATCTTATAATTTAAATATTACTAATCCGACTACTTACTGTCTGGATTTTTCTTTCTGATTGAAAGTGATAAATAGATGGGGGGGGGTTGACATGAGAAAAAAATAAGGTGGCGTGAAATTTCAAACTGATGGATGAGTTCAGTGTTTCAATTTCTGATATTCAATGCTAAATTATCAATAGATGGGTTTAATTATTGTATCAGTTGTCGAAGTTTCTATATACTTGAAAAATATTAGACCAGAAACATCTAAGTGGTAATGAAGGCATATTGATGCATTTTTATACAATCTGATAAATGTTTGGTTTGTCATGAATACAGACTGTGATGATATGACCTTTATCTTAGAACAAAGTGAGATTGAAAAAACACAATGTTAGACCTCAGTTCCGATGGTGTTTACACAATACTCCAGCGAAACGTTTGTGATAGGGAGGGGGGGGGAAGGGTTCAACACTTCCAGTTCAACGCAGCGATTACTCAAACTTTAATTGTAATTTTGAAATCCATCTTACTTTCATATCGACAAACCTTGACCTAACACTACACAACTCTTTCATATTTGTACTGGGTGACGATTGAAGGTGAGATGAAAATCTGGACTGCGGCCGGGTTCGGACCAGCGACCACCGGGTTACCGGCCCGGTGCTCTACCAACTCATCTACGAGGTCCGACTGCTGCTCACTTCAATCACTAAGAGTTTTGCCAGACTACCATGTGAATTCATGACACGTTACTACCACTTGATCGTATTCACACTGGCTGCCTAGTCAAGATTTCTCATCCAAATCTAACTGGATCAGAAAAGAGAGCATCATACTGATTATGATTTGACTGTTCGCCGTGAAACCAGAAGGTCCTGAGTTCCATCCCTAGCCGGGTTCTGGGTGCGTACTGCTGAGGAGTCCTGTACTAGGACGAAACAGCTGTCCAGTGCTTCCAGATTTTCAATGGTTCCCTAACTGATGTCAATTCATGATGAATACTACTTCTACATACATATATGATATTTTAAGACTGCAGTCAGTGAGGAAGATTTAACTTAAATAATGTTGCTAACTGATTATGTAAACGTTGGTTGAGAACAGAAAGAGTTCAGGTAAAAATTTTGAGATCCTTCACAAGGCATATATCGATTACAAAGGAGGTAAAAACTTGGTAAAGTTAATAAACAATCAAAAGATTAGGCAATATAAATGAGAAAACAAGTTAATTGGAACAAATTGAAAAAGTCCTCTTCTCTATATGTCTTATTTTAGATATCACAATGGGAATTATGAAATTAGGTGAATTAACCCTTCGTCTTAAGATTACACTATTCGATTCCCCGTTATACAGCAACGTGATGTAAACGTCTTTTCTTCAAATAGAATACTGATTAGTACTCAATGTTGAGACGTTTTTTAGTGACTGAAGAATTTCAGTGGATATGCATCTTTCATGAGTGTCTCTGTTAAGAATTCGATTTCTCCTTCTAATGTATGTATTTATTGTGTAGATAGGTTGGTTGCTGTTATTAAACCTCTTTTGTACTGCATTGGATAGAAATTATGATAGTGTAGGTACTGTCCTGTTCAACTGAAGTTCATCAGTTGTTATAAAAACGTCTTAGTCACTAGTCTGTCAGGAAGAATGATGTTTACATCATACTATCGTACAAGGGATCCTAATTGTAGTGGACTGGATCATGCAACAAACAGTCAGGAGCAAGAAAAGGGGCATAATCTGGCTGGACCGATGAAAACACTCTACAAGGTTTGGATTTCGCCAGTGATGACTAGTGTCCAATGTCGCACAAACTTGAAGATCTACAGGCAAAAACTAACAAGTTGACAGAAGAGGCGAGGCAGGATAGCGAAGACGATTCTTATTTCAGGTGAACGTAGAGAAGACGGAGGTGATGAAGATCAACAATCACCATAAACGGGAGAAACTGAAAGGAAGTAGCCTCTTTCACCTATCTAGACAGCATTGTTTCAACCACAGGTGGCGGTACAGACGTGGTCGTCAAAGCCAGGATCGGAGAGACAGCAAGACAGGTTTTCATTAATCTGAATTAATCAGTGTGGAGATCTGCAATGCACTCAGCATTTAGTGTGAACGACGTCCGGATTTTCAACACCAGTGTCGAGTAAGTCAGTGCTTCTATGTGATGATTGATAGACTTGTCGCGTTACGAAAAGCTTTTGTAACAAACTACTGACATTCATCACATCAACAGTTGCCGCCTACGCTCACTCGATACTGAAGCTCAGATGGCCAGAATAATAATGATAATAAGCAAGAAGGAAGTGTGGCTGGCTAACAACGAACCAACAGAGGAAGAACCTATCGCTCAACAAATATGCATAAGAAGGTGGAGATGGATTGAGCATGCACTGAGAAGACCGAATGGGATATCACGCACCAGGCGAGGCCGTCGTGTGGAACCCAGATGTGAAAGGACGAGTTGGCGTCGGTGTCGAGGGTGACATGGAGGAGATGGTGAGAGGAAGAAATGAGAGCTTGTGGGCAGTTGTGTAGCCAAGTTCAAAAGTTTGCAGATAGCGGAGTGGAATGGAGACTTGCTACTGAAGCCCTATGTTGCATTAGGAATCCAAGGGATTATTCATAATAATGATAATCGTATTAGGGGAAACAAAGAGTATGACGTAAAGACGAAGGCTTAGTTCAGTTATTGAGAAGACGTAGCATGCAACCTAGCTCAATATTATAGAGAATATGAAATCTATACTTCAAAATAAGCCTCACTGTTATATAGACGATTACGTCACATCGCACTGTGTATACCAATCTACGTATGTGTGTATGTGTATGTGTGCGGTGACATACTAGAAGTAGTGAGTAATCGAATGATGAAGTGGAGGATATGTGTAGCATACCTTTCAATGACTTGAAATCCGATAAACACACAGAGCAAACATGTTTCATCATCTGTTGGCGAATATATCAGAGAAACAGGTTACAGGACTTCCCCAAAACAGTCTGTCATGTATAGCTATAACTTCAGATACTTTGGTCAATCTACGACGACTAACCTACCCTTTATGAACAAACTCAGATGGTTACGTTTTCTTTAAACCAATAAAATGAATGAAATAATAAAACCAAGAACTATCAATTGGCATCGACTTACAGAAAAGTTTAATTTTATCATGGTCATCCTCTGTAAATCGAGAAACGTAGAGGATATTTAACATGTACACATAGACTGGAGATAACATGAATGTTCTCCACGAAATTTATTCAATATATTATGATGGGAACTTCATTTTAGGATAAAAAAATTGATTTTTCTTCTCTCAATGAGAAGAAATCAACAACATTACACTGGATAGCACCGACTATTTTTTTCAACTGAAACTGATTAACTAGACTGAATTATCCTTTGATATCAACATTGTCTTTTCCCTTAAAGAGAAAAGAAGCCAAAAAAGCGACGAAATTAGATTCCATTTCTGTCTGCTTAATGTGTATTCAGAGGAGAAAAATGTCCTGTTCAATGATAAATCGCATATGTGTATCAAAGGAGTTGTTAAATATTCAATAGATCCATTCTACTACACCAAAAAAGTGAATTATACGACAGTTTACAGCCAAACGCTTTATATATACTCACGTTTGTGTCTGTAATGCATGTAGCAGCTGAATATACAGACATATATGCATAGATAAATACACTTTTCTGGTGTTATATGTATAAAATGGACATTGAATATTAATAGTGACAGTAGTATACTACTTATAGTCGTGGTGTTAGTAGTATGTACGCGCACACCGTTAGGACAGTAGAAAAAATGCATAAAAGACACGAGGAATTTTTGTTCCAATTACTTTTATCTCTGTAACCTTTATAATGTACAGTTTAATGTTGATATATTTGTAGTCGTGATTATGTAATTGATTTGTAAAAAAAATTTTTTTTCTAGGTTAGGCATGTTACACACTAAAATAGTTGTTTTCACTATGATGTATGTGTGAGCGTATGCGTATACGTCTCCGATAGACGTAGACTGTCATCAGAGTGTGTGTATGCAGGCACAAAAAGTGACATAAAATGAATTTTAAAGTGTAAAAATATCTTTTCCTTTTTATGATCCAGGTTTTTCATTCTATGGTTTCAACCGTATGTAACAACTGTTGTATTTTTTTGGTGGATAAGACAACTGAAAAAGTGCTCTAATCATCGGTCAGTGAAGAGCAACTGAGGTCATTATAACTAATGTGTTAGGTGATGAGACGAACTCACCAGGTAGCCTTCAGCTTTAATCACCTCAAAAAAAGAATTGACCAGTTAAACACAGGTCATCAATAACGAAGACTTAAGTACTGTATTAAACAAGTCATCAGTGAGTCACTGTATAATTAGATGAAGGAGACTGTAGCGGCAAATAACCCCACCCTCCTGCAAATCCATAGCCTAAGGTTGGACAGTGTTCAACAGTTCTGCTGACCTTGATAGTCTTAATCAGCATGTTAAGCCGAAGGCATACAGTCAAGCGTCCACACTATTTGGCATGCTGCCATGTTACGTTGCGCTACTTATTCACCATCACCCAGTCAGACAGTCCATCTATTTAGGTTTATTAGCACTGTTCACCAAAGGTTTTGCTTTGAATTCATTACGGATCGACATAAGTCTGAGGAGGCGTTCATTTCGAACACCTGTTTCGTTCTAGTACGGGATTCCTCAGCAGTGCGCACCTACGACTCTAGGAGGGGTACAACCCAGGACCTGCAGATCGAATACAACTTTTATCTTAATGTCCCATTGTGTTCTTTCTTGGTTTCGTATTCGTGCTCAATCATTTTGGAATGTAGCCAAAAGATTCACCATAGCGATGAATTGAGATAGATGACAAGTGACAAAAACCAAGAAATCTAGATTGAGTAGGACTTCTTTCCGATAGCTTCTATCCAACTAACATCTAACTGTACAACTAGTTGATGTTACTTTCTCCAGTCTTTAATGGGGAATAAATTTTACTGACCCATTGCGAAAGTGTGAATTTATTGAATATTGGAGATCTTGTCTACTAATGATAACCGATAAATCAGAAATCTGTTGATTATATTCAAGCAGTATGATGGCGGATCTACCTGTATCACGTCAGTATTGTAGATACTAGCAAAACTCAGTCGAACACCGAACCGTGATTATCCTCATTCTGAGGGACAAATCTTTTCCATCATTCAAGCATTATTTATGACATAAAGTATACTCCTATTTTGATTCGCTAAGCATAGTGAGTGACCACATTGTAAACACAGTCGACAGTAGTAATTCGGTTAATACTTAACAGAGGTCATTAAAGGTTAGTACTACTTTGACAGTAACTGAATCAAAGTAGACGGAAGAGGTCGAAGTTAGTACTTAAGAAATGAGGATTCGTATAGCAAAGTCATCGGAAAATCATATTCAGATCCTTATTACATAGATGGACACACAGGTAGAAGTATCGAGAAGTAGACAAACGCTGACTTATTATCAGTATTATGAACGTAGATAAATTGTCACACTGTACATCCAGGTGGGAGTAAATCAACCAACACCAGTCTTAATACAATCTCAGGTAGTCACAGTGAAAATAGATATGATGCTCCCCCCCTTTAGTAAATCAGCTCTTATTGAATTGAGATGAGAAGTCCCGGCTAAATAACGAATGTGAATTCAATAAATAAACAGTAACACACGAGGAATTCAAAAGATGGTCAGGTAAAAGCCTTGACAACTAAATTGAAATTAAGATCTCGTATAGAGCCAAGTTTCGTAATTCTGTTGGTAGGACACCGTGACAGGCGACTCAGAGGTCACTGGTTCGAAACCTGTCATCATCGAGGCTCATATTTCACCTTCAATCATGACCTAGTGTCAAAATAATACCAGCTGTTGTGATAAGATCATCTACTAGTCAAACATCAATCCTTACATATTTCAAGCTGACAGTCAGAGCCTTCATAGCTTGCTGACATGTCATCTTGCCCTAGTCACCCTTAACTTTTATTCCAGCATAATGAAGGTATGATGAACACTGACAGACTGAATGCGAACCGGTACACACACGCACATACATACACAAAGGAAACCGAATAAGACATACGTGGAAATAAATGCCCCCTCAATAAACCAGAGAATTTATCACCTTAGCATATAATCAACGTAGTGGTGGTGGTGGTGGTAGTAGTAGTAGCAGTATCAATAGTAGACAAAACCATTCTTCCTGACAAGATATTCGTTGATTTGTGGCAGTTTATGCTGATCTACTGATAACAAGTAGACATTGACTTCATTCAATTCATGGGAAAATGCTGTAAATATAGACAGGCATACGTGTTGATATCAAATGATACATAAATCTACCTATACAGGTGTACAATAAATGAGTCTTCATTATCAAAGTTGTAAGTTCAAACATGCAGCAACAACAATAGTTAGAAAACACATGATATATTACATTACTAAACAAACAGTCAGTCACAGATGAAGAAAGAATGATCACCATGGTAACTAAGTGAATTTATTTATTTAAGTCTTATCTACTACTTTTGTATGTAAAATAAACTGGTTCTCATCTATCCAATTTACCGATATAGGAAAAGAGAGAGGATGAGAGAGAGAGAGAGAGAGACGGTAATCATAAATTACACTGATAGACTCTATGAAGGTACCTGTTCTTCGACTATATTTGTTAACTTTATTCATACTATAGTTGACTAAGCTTCAGTGATCCATATTTGTTTTTTACACTCGTCCAGAGCGCCCCTAATAATAATAATAATAATAATAATAGGGTTAAGAATCTTTTGATATGCTAACTAGATAAATATTTACTCATTATCCACCTTCAACAACAGGTGGCACAGATGAGGATGTAAAAACCAGGATCGGAAAACCAGCAACACATGCCATCATTAATCTGGAATAACCAGTGGAGTTCAGTGCAGTGGAGTAGATCTTCACACTGATTATTCCAGGTTAATGAAGGCCTGTGTTGTTGCACTTAGCATAAAGCGTGAACAACATCCGGATTCGCAACACTAACATCAGTCAAGTAAGTCAGTGCTTCCATATGATGGTCGACAGACTTGGCATGTTACGAAATGCATTTCCAACAAACCGCAGACATATATCACATCAACAGCTGACACCTACACTCACTCGATACTGACAGTGAAGATCAGATGGATGGACTGATGGATGGATGGATGACCAGAATAATAATAATAAGCAAGAAGGAAGTGTGGCTGGGTGGCTAGCTGACTGGCAAAGAAACCAACCAACAACCCATCGCCTAACAAAAATGCAGGAGAAAGTGGAGATGGATTGGATTGTACGGGATTGTATTAGACATACACTAAGGAGATGATTTAGGTGGGGTAGGGGTGTTATCACGTGCCAGGTCAGACCAGGCCAGATCGTTGAGTGGAATGCAAATGGGAAAAGATGAGTTGGGCATCGGAGGTGAGAGTGACATGGAGGAGATTGTGTGAGAAAGAAATGGAAGCTTTTGGGGTTGTTGAAGCCAGATTGAGAAGACTGTACAGAATAGAGAGAAATAGCGACGTGCCAGTGGAGCCTTATGTTTCACTGGGAATCCAAAGGACAAATAATAATTATAATGACATTACCCACTGCATATGGTGATATATAAACTCATTCATACTTACGGAACCTACTACTTATAAACTGATTTGTAGTATAAGTTAGGAACGCTGAGAAATAGTCATCATTGCTGTGAAGTCCTGATTAGACAGCCAACGTGAATACAATCAATTGCTAATAACGCTTCACCGATTCACATAGTAGTCGGGTCAAACCCTTGGTGATTGGAGTGACATGAAAATCTGGTCAGTAGTCGAGTCTCATAGCTCGGTTAGTTGACCACCAGACTGGAAACCCGATAGTCGCGGGTTCGAATCTGGCCGTGATCCAAATTTTTATTTCACTTTCAATCATCACCCAGTACACAGATAGTGAGAAATAGCAATTATTGCTGTGAAAACTGAGATAATCCTGACGTTTTCTAGAAAGTAGAGATTTCAAGTATTACTTGAAAAATCCATCTTTGAAGTGATTGTGTCACATACCCATATTCCACATTATCACCTACTGAAGTTTTAGTCTACAATCGAATGGTATCATAGAATGGGTGGAATGGATTTGATTCTTCACCCAATGTCTACACCTTTAATTTTGGGGTACACTATACATAAGTGAAAATGGAATACGAAGGGCACAGCGGTTTTCACTCGACTTGAGGTTCACCAGAAATCCATCTACTGAAACTAGTGTCTAACAAATGCACATAGCAACGCGCGGCATCATGTTATTCACCGTTAGTGATTGGTACATATATGTGAAATGATTTTCAGATATGGTTTGACTATTATATACTAACAATTACTGACGTCTTTCTTCACAAATCCCTTCCCTGATTCTATGACAAAATATGTTATTGTATGAATTTTCACGTAATTTATCTGTAAGGTGGTCACTGATATATTGTGTATGAGTGATTGATTAATTTCAGCATAGACTGACAATGAATAGACATTTTACATCAGAGAATAACTGAAGTTGTAACTGTCACCTGTCGAAATTCAATGAGGTGTCCAAACTTGAAACTGATAAGCTCTGAATAACTAATGGGTTGCTGTATCATTCATCAGACCTGATC